TGAAGTCCAATGGGGGGCAAACTACTCATGTATGTATATATGGTTTATATTATCACGGTCTATTTATATATATATATATATTAATTAATTAATTATATAATATTAATTAAAAATATTACCATTACATATTATTATGTAAGGTGGTGTGTTAGCTAATTTTTTGTGTACTAAACCGAATTTAATCCAGACGACAACATGTTAAGTATGATTAGGTGTTGTTTGCACAATACAATTGGCTGGGGAAATTTTGGTATAAATCTAGTTAAGAATCTGCAAGAATTTTTTGCCGGACGAACTCAGTTTGGGAGTTATAGAAATTTTAAACAAGCAGACATAAATGTATTTTATCATTATTGTTATTTAATGCATTACACCTGTATTTGAAATTAGCATTTTACGATTAAAAATGTTTAAGGAAAATTAAATACTAATGGTTATTTTTAATAAACAATAATTGCATTTAAATTTTGTTTGCAATTACCTCACTTGAACCTAAAAGGTCAAATATTGGGTTTAAATAAGTTTTATGTTATAAATTATTACTATTAAAATTATTGTGTGTACATTAATAAAGTTGTATCTCGCTAATGGAGGTATATGATTTATATAGTCTAATAAATGTATATAATTATGAATAATTTGTTGGATAAGTTGTTTTCGCTTGACTCCCACAATTGACAATACTTTAGTTGCATCATCGTATACAAATTTATTTTAACTTTTGAAAATAATCTTGATTAAATGACCGCTGATTTTTTAATTGCAACACAACAATGAATAGTTTATGTTATTTTGGTTTCAACAAACCTTTACTATTTGCTAATTTGTGTAGGTCTGATCCCATAAAGTTACTATTACAGCAATAATAAATTAATACCACTTTAAAATAAGTACATGTATATAATTAATAATATTAATATTTATATAAAAAAAAAGTATATTTGAATGATTAAAATTATTATTTTATGTAGGAAGCACTGATTGTACAATTCCATGGTTAGTAGATAAAAATCCATTTTTCCGATCAATGGAATCCTCCTTTTTCAACAGATGCCCTACTCCCCTGGTTGGCGATCAGACCAGGGAATACTGTTGTTATAATAAAGATGGGGTTGCATGTTGTAACCTAAAAGAATTTTTAGTATTTTGGTAAGAAATACAATACTGTGTTATTTGAACAGAAAACTATAATAATTTAATTAATTTTATAGTCTAGTTATTACAATAATGATGTTTATTGCATTTCAGGTTTATGTGTCTTCTTCCTTTCTTAATCATTTTCTTGATTTTCATCTTAATGATCAAATGTGTTTGTTGTTTATGTCGTTCATGCTGCACCAATGGACGTAGGCAAGGTAGTAAGTAAAACCATTTTACTCGTGCTAATATTTTACATATTTGTAAGCATACCTGGGCATTATTAAAATATTTATTAAAAAAAAAAAATTAAAAAAATTATGAATAATAAAAATGTACTTTGATTAAAATCTATTATTTGAAACAATAAATACAAATGTTTTTTAATTACAAATTTATGAGATATTTATATATATATAAAAAAAAAAATGATTTGATACGCTAAATCAAAACAAAATTTTAAATAATTATTAGTTATTTATTTTTTAAACAAAAAATGTCCAGGATTGCTAGTAAGTAAATAATGCATTCATTCAACTTATCAATTATTTTTTTTCCCTTGTAAAACCTAACCTACCGGTTAATAGGAGAAGGCAGTGTGTTAATGCTCACTGTCGCTTGTTCGACACTCGGTCACGGGCGCTCCGACTGTATGGTAGAAATATTAAGCGCCATCTGGCGACCTAACTAGGCTCGAATTGGGCCTACACCCGGTTAAAAATGCCATACGCTTAAATAAAATTAAATAGTTATTCAAATTTAGTATAAAGTTTACCAATCCAAATATTTAATGTAATTATATGTATTATAAATGTGTTTAAAAACCATATTACTGCAGGTGTAATTGCTTCACCAGCGCCAATTAATTTCGTGTACTTGGAACCTTCTTCGATTCCATACCAGCCAGTCCACTCGAAATACAATCCTTAATAGCATCAGGTAACATGAAACACAATTAAAATAGATGCTGGATGATTTTTTTTTATCGTGAGCCACAATATCATACAATTTAATAATTCATTTTTTTTTCATAGTGTTTAAAATATTATGTGATCTCAACATTATTTTACACATTATTATGTTTTTAACTCCCTCCCAAATTAATTATTTTTATACCAACTTTTGAAACCTAATTGGTAACATATACATTTCATTAACCTTTATAATTGAGAATAATGTACAAACAATTTTGATTGGTAATAAATAAAACCTAACCAGTCAAAACTTTTAGTAAAATATTCTTAATTTAAAAGGTAATAAAATAAATATGTTACCATTTAAGTTTCAAAAGTTGATATAAAAATAATAAGTTTGGAGGGGGTTAAAAACCTATCAATGTGTATGATATCAGATAGAAAACACTATGAAAAAAAAAATGAATAACTTATTAATTGTATGAGATATTGAGTGGCTCACAATAACAAATCGCCCTCTATAATATTAATACGGAATTATTAATTGTAAAAACTATTTTGTTTTTAGTTTCATCGGGATCTACGCGATTGTTGCATAACGAGTACCTAAACGTAATGCATCTTATAATATATAATGTACATGTAAAATGCATGTGTTAAAAAAAACATTAACAAAAAACTATAGCTTTTAAGACATATATATATATATATTATGTATTTACGATATTGTTATGTTGTATATTATGCCATGTTCATTTCAAAAAAACTATACATGTATAATATATATATACTTATAAATATCATATAAATTACTGTATTTATAACATTTTACTGGCTAGAGGAAAAAATCTGTCCTACTGGAAAAATAACAAACCTTTCATTAACATACCTCGCCATAAAAAAATATTATAAAAGTTATGTTATAATTATATAAAACAAAAATATGTATTTATATTTTTATTGGAGGTATATATTTTGAACAATTATTTCAATAATGCATAAAACAAAAGTATGTATTATTAGTGAACTGAATTTACCAATATTAATAAATTTATAAATAATATTACATTGTATACTGTTAGAGTATAATTTATGTTGAAAAGATCAGTTCTTATTTTTATTTCTTAAAAATTTATCTATTTAAATATTGTTCTAAAAACTGAAAATAGAAAAAAATGTTTTCTTAAGCTATGATTAAACTTTATATTTTTTTTATGATGTTGCAAAACCTATGTTTTGTGCCAAAGGCATTCAAACATAACGGACGGGTGTCACTTACCTAAATGTATTTGGATTTTTAAACTATTTCTGAAAGCATTTATCTTTTTTATTTTTTTACATACAAATTGTTTTTTTAATTTTTAAAATATTTTGATATGATGTGTTATGGTACATGTAACCACAAATTATATTTTGTTGTGTTAAAAATATATACACAATATATCGTTATATATTATAAAAAATGTGTTGATAATTGTGTACATTTTTGTTTGATGTGTATAATAAGCCCCACTACGTGTGTTATACTCTTACAAACGCCTCAGTTTATTTTAAAGACTAATACAAATTGTCATTCTCGATCAATATTGTTGAAATACACGTTTGTTTAGTAAAGAATTGGCATCGCTTATTTTTTCCGTATTATTGGCCATTCCAATTGTTTTATTTAAAAAAAAAAAACCTAGACAGAGTGAATGACATAACATACAATACATTATGCTAATTTCATATCTTCAAGATTAACAAAACTCAAATCATTATAAAGATATTAAAATGTTTTCATTCATTTTTCAAACCTAAACATACTATTAGCTACGCCACGTAGAATATATTCTACTCTCAATGATGGTTGAAATCGAATTATTTAATAAGACTAGAGATCATCCACCATTTTTGTTAATGCTGTCTATCATTGGCCCCTTAAAACGTCATAACCAAAATCTAGTATCCGGACTTTGTGAACACGGTATTTGAAGTAATTAAAACTTTTTTAGTCTTCTTTTTATATCATATTGAATATCATGAAATATCTAAAGAAATGTGTGCAGAAAAAATGTGTTAAGTTTCAATCAAGGGGCATGATATAGGCAAACATTTGTAAAACTGCGGGCATCGAAAATGGCTTCCCTTAAATATGACTAACTTTCCCGTATTATCACTTGCTTTTTATTCGTTATTTTGGTCAGTGTTGAAAATGAGCTTGTTTTGTTTTAATCAGTAATTCATTTTTTTCTAGGAAAAATTTTGAAAAAAATAACTTAAATGCTTGATTTGTCATCACCGGTAGCAAAACAGCTTGCAACAGACAAGGTGGATTATAAAATTCACCTTGATCACAAGATGTGTTCTCAACCATACACTTTTAAAATATTTATTCTCCTATTACGCTGTTTAAACAATCAACAATCTTGTTTGTGATACGATAATAAAGTGGGGGGGGGGTATATATCTGCATTAACCTTGTACATTTTTAAGTTTTAACTTACAAATTAATTATTATTAATATCGTATTAATGTATTTATGTATATACAATAGTGTTAAAAAAAATGTAAGAACAGAAATGTTATGACTTATGAGTAATCAGTTATCACTTATCAAATATTAAAGAAAAAACGCCGGACGTGGATCGATAACGCGATGTCGGCGTGTTGGAAAGCGCCGGAAATCGATTGCTGATAAATTATAATTGTTTGGATAGGTAACAAATCAAAAACCGCTCGAGATGTGTACGTTATGTAAAATATATTTTTATTTACACAACTTATTTTTTCATAGACAAATTTTTCTGTAAGATTATTTTGTTTGTATAGTAGCTACTTACGATTGTATCGGCCTTAGACGTTAACTATCGATAACGATGGTACGATTGTTTGCGGTCCACCACTTCACCTGCCCGTTACCGAGTAATATGTATTCCATGGGTTTCTCGGATGCCAACAGTAACAGCTGCTGGCTTGACTGCAGAGTGCAGTTCATCGGTGCGATTCTGGTTTGTTCGTTGTTTGCCGCATTGCCGTCGCGCTGCCGTCGACCGAAATAATAAAACAAAATATATATGCAAAATATCAAAAGTGCGATTTTCATTTTTTTTTAAATAAAATATGATTGTGCATCTGTGTATCTAAATGTCTCGAGAACGGATTCCACTGGACGGATAATAGGATTGCACCGGTTTTTGGTTGGTATGTAAAAGTCTGTGTGCTGTCATTTAGAGTTTTATTAGGGTGCCGGGGTAGCGATCAAAACATGCACACTGTAGTGTAAAGGTCAGATTTGAGATTTTTCATCAACATGGTACACGAAACCCCCAAAATGTTGTGTCAAGTGCGGTGCCACCGCCCACCTCACACTTAGTCGAGTAAGAAAACTCAAAATGTACAATGACAAGTGCAAATTGAAATGTCGACTAGAATTTTTTAAAAATGTTCATAAAAAAAAATATATATATATAATAATAAATAAAAAAGCTGTTTAGTGCTTTGAGCAGACAGCTGAGGAGTTATTATTGTAATTTTTGCACACTTATAAAAATTATCTTATAACATCTTCTGATGGCTGAGAATTTTTTTTTTTTTTTAATCTTTTGTGAGCCTTTTAGGCTCTTTGCTTCTAAAACCAAATCACTCCATACTTCTCGTGCGTAAGCTAGATCCAAGTTTCTGTTCCAATTCGGTTGTAACTCTTCCAGATCTTTTCTAACCACATCAAGCCATCTTTGCGTTGGACGTCCCCTTGGTCTTTTCTGATCTAATGGCTGAGAATAATGTTTTTTATTCAGATTTATTTTCAATAAATATATATAGGTGCTAGATACCTATTAATTAAAATATAATCAGGTTTAAATAGAAACATGTAAATTGCTAGAAAGTTAGTACCTTGATGTAAATTCATAAAAGGTATGTAAATAAAAAACTTTTATGCTGGTACTATCACCTTTTGAATCGTATTTCGTTTTAGAAATTGTGTTTAAAACAATTTTATGGTTTTTCACATAATATCTTTAATATATAATAATATGTACTTATAAGTGTTGGGTATTTTAATACATAAGGCAGTTAAGTCGGAATGATTTAAAATTTTATATTATTAGTGACAGCCCGTCTAATTTTATTTGGTTTGCTAGGCTATTGAAACCAATAGTCAAAACTGTTAAAATATCTCCTTTTAAAAAAAAAAAATGTTAATAATTGGAAGTTACCATTTAATTCAATATGCACATTAATCTTAGTAATTTCAAGATACAATTTTGATAATTAATATTTAAACACTAGTTTTATGCTCAAAGGGCCTAGCTAACATATTATTTTAGTATGTTTTTTTTCTTAAACATATCTTAATAATTTACTAGGTATTATATATTAATAAATTAATACTTATAATAATTAATTTGTAAATATTTATTTGCATAATGTATTATTTCAACACATTTAATTATTATGTTTCAGTCTGCACATTCATATGAATAATTGTAATCGAGACAACATGGCTGATATAATGGTGCATTCGGCTGATAATTCTCCTCGTCGAGAAGTTTACCGATGCGGCATGTTATCACCAGTACTCGGACCACGTAGTAGTTTTCGTATGAACAGCGAGCTTAAGCACAGTCGTAGTGATGATTTGATTTTGCAAGGTGCTCCATATACTCCAGCTGACATGCAACATGGCATAAGCGATGCCGCACTACAGATTCAAAAGGACGCCTGTGTTGTATACGATGACGATGTTAGCGATCACAGGATGTCAGTCGCCAATTATGAAAGTCCTATTGTTACTCAAGACTTAAATCCAGTACCACTGTTAAAACTTACTGGTGACTTTACACCAGAAAGCTCAAATAAAAGATGCAGCGTTGTAGAACGCGTTGATCCAGAAGACAGCATCGGTGATATAATATCTCAAAACGATTTCTATAGGTGCGTAAAACAAGATTAAAATATGTCCGTGTGTTTATATAGAACTATTTTAATGAAAGAATGGTTTGGTAATAATGTGCATGCACATGGATAGGATTTTGATTCAATGTGCAACTGCTTACATGTTTTCAAACATTTAGCCCATTTTTCCAGTTGGTAAATTGAAAAAAAATATTACCACGATTAACAAATTAATTAGTAAATATTTAAATTTTCTACTATTTGACATAAGAAAAAATGTAGGAATGTGGATTTTGTTTTTCAACTAAAACTGAATATATTTCATTTAATATACATATATAAATTATAATATATACTTATAATGTAATTCAATTTTAATGAATGTTAGTTAGTTGAAAATTGATAAACAAATCCCAAACAAGTTACAGACTCAAAATTAATTTGTTCTGATATCTCATGTAATAAACATATTAATTACAAATTAAAAAGGAAATTAATCATAACTGTATTCACGTTAAATTTTTTTTATTATAAAATGTTAATTCTTTTCAATTATTCAAAGATTTTAAACTTCTTTGGCATGTGAATTTTCCAGTCATCACTGTTAGAGATATGGCACTAGGGCAGTATAATTGGGTTTTAAAATGGTAGTATTTTTTTTTTTTTGTAATTGCATAGAGCTCAAGGCCATGCAGTTGTGATTATGTACATTTTTTTATACTTTTTTCCCGTCTAAAACATGATTTGCAGTTTTGAAAGCGCACTCGATAACTTTTTTACAATAGACAATTATTAAAATATTCTCGTTAAAACAAATTTTGGTAGAGGAGTATTGTTTTGGTGTTGAGTATTGTTTTGCTAGTCCTAGGAAATAATGCCTCGGCATTCGGCAAAACAATATCAGAATAATAACACTCTCGGCGGACGATCGTGTATGGATTTTTTTTTTATATATACAGAATTATAATAATTAGTGTTAGATTTTAATCGGTCAGTTTAAAAGTCAAAAATCGTCACGGATCGCGTGTGATCGAATCATTTGCTGGAAAAAAAACATGCGACCGCATCCGAAACACGTTTTGTGTTATGACTGGGACTAGTTATGATGATGATAATATCATATTAAATAGAACGGTCAACATTTTTGCGCGGTTTTTTGTAATGATTTTGGTGTCGAGAATGTTGTTTTCAGAAGAAACGCGTACTCGGTTTCTCGGAGAAAATCCAGTTTCATCGCAGCAATAACAATTAATTATTTGTTATATTTTACTACTGTAAACTTTGAAACGCCGAATCCGGGTATAGTTTTTGTTTGAATTTTTTTCCGAGGTTTTTGTTTTGTTTTTTCGTCCAACTAAGTGCTGAATAATAATAATAATTACACCTGTTTGGCACCGGCGCGACACGACGAGTATTAGTATGTATGCCACAGCCGTTGCGATTATTCTCAGAATGAAAAATAGCGAACGATCTGCTGTTGGGACGTCACGACCGCTTTGGTTATTATCTCATCATCCTTGAGAAAACGATATGACTGGTTCACGGCTATTATAATGACCCAAGGGTGTTAAGTGTCCGAACCTACTTAACCAGTTAGCCTGACTCGCGTGTGTTGTTTGTACGAAAATTCACAACGCCGGACCACCAGACTAGACTTTGGCTCGAACACGGTATCATAATAATTATTATACCTAATGTAATGCCGTGTTCCAGACCTTTTTTGCGTCTATACTCTATACTATATATTACAGACAGATATATGATGGTTCATCATCTCTGGAAGAGGGAAGGGGGTCGTCTAATATCATATAATGTACATTCACCACATGTTGCTCGTACGATCAGCTTGCATTGCTTAATGAATAACAATAATTGCGTATCGTGACTAAATGAATAGTTCACGAGCCGAGATGAGCAAAAAGTTTTGGAATATCAATTGATACTTGTATCAAAATGTCTCGATTATATTCGCATCGATTATCCAAATCCCACGTCTTTGTTGTACGCCATAATATATTATAAAAGCCACAGGATGTACACGGATGAAACAGCAACACTTAAAAATATAAAACCCGGGTAAAGTAAGTACAATTTGACTGTCAGTGGTGGCGCAAAGCTCGGGCACATGACTGAAGTAAATGCAAATCATCCACATAAATTTGGTGTTTTTCGAGCAGTCTCCTATGTAGGTTAGGTTAGTTTCAAATAAACAAATTTTTATAAAATAATTGCATAGATTACTTAAATTCTTTCTTACTCAAATGGATCTTCAATTATTTGGGTTTCATTTTCATTTTTTTTTTTTTGGCTCCCCACTTCACTATTTTAGGACTTTTTAAACGATTTCATGGGTCCTTTATGCAGCTGCATACTTATTCTGTGCACACACCTATGTAAACTATGTTTAATATGACAATAATTAGAAAGAATGGTAAATTATATTTTTGTTAAAAATGTATATATTATATTGTGTTGATACCCTGCTATAAATGCTTGTGTACAAGATACAAGTACGCAAATTCAATAAAACACGCTTATTTGTCGTGTATATGTTTTTTCATTGCTTACTGGATTCTTCAATTGATTTTTATTTAATTCGTGGTATGATTTGTCCAAATGTGTACTATCTAACCGCTTACATTTTTTTAGTTAAACATGGTATCTTATTTACTTAGAATATAATATATCTCGATATTATACACATACTCTTTTCGGAACAAGAACAGAGTATAGGTCGTTAATAAACGATGCCCTCATTAATTATGTATATTAGGCACAATAGTTATAAGGTGCGACCACGGTTGTTGATATCGACTTGTACCGCTATAAAAATATGGATTTACAGACATCCTATAGACGATTTGAATTGATACATTGGTTTTTTTTTATAAGTTTGTGGTATTTTAATCTATGCCAATTACAAATAATAACTGTAGACCGGTATTATCGATACGTGATCGCATGGAAATTTAGAAATTCATTGTGGTGGTCGGTCGCCCGTGTTTGGGTAGCGGTATGTGGGTTTAATGCAAATAAGCATCGAATTCGTTATTTCTCGGTGCAAATTTATGTGAAAACTGAAGATAAAAAAAACAGCGGCCATGCGGTCAATATTAATTATTGGTTTCTGCTGTGCTCCGTCACATTTGAATAAACTATAGACAAACGCAGAATACATTAACGAAATTAAATAATGAACGGTTTTTGTGTGGATTTAGTGAAAAACAACACACAAATCTATAGACATATCACGATTCCGTTGGCACAGTGATGGTATAATAATATAACGATGCCTGTAATGCGCGAAAAAACATTTTGACACATAAAATGTACGCATTACAATATGTTTAAGTTCATAACTATTGTGTAGGCTTCAGAGTATTCACTTAAGAGTATAACGCTTTACGTTGTAATTTTTATTTTATAAAAAGCACACAATTTGTAGGTAGGTTGATTCGTGCTATTTTTATGGCATCCGCGCTGTACAATGTCTTTAATTTAAATATGTTCAAGGGCGTCAGTAGGGGGGGGGGCATTGTCCTTTCCCAGATTTTAAAGTACGTTTGTATAATTGTATAGTCCGTCTATATAATCATGTATCAAATAATAATAAGAGACGTACGTATATATTATCAAGTACAAAAAAAAAACAAATATGATTATTGATAACAATAATGCTACAAAATTAATAGTTCTTTAGATAACCGGAGGTAGAACAAGAAATATTCAGATTAAAAAAAAACATGTTCACTATACGTCATTATGTAAATTAATAAACAAAATTATTCGATACCTACCACCTAGATCGTTTTAATTTTTTTTTTTATAAATTAGTATTAAATACGGTATTTTTATTTAAGCTGGGATGAAGGAGCAGCCCATTTGTACTAATTTTTGAGAGATAAAAACGTTAAGACCTATCACATTTTAATAACCCGGTTAGGTTAATACTATGAAGTATATAATTATACAGTTATAAGAAAATTGTTTTTTGAAAGTCTAGCTTATAAGAAATTAATATTTTGTTGTGTTCTAAGATGTTTAAACGACAGACACGACTCTATTTAAATGGTGATTTTGGATGAAAAATGGGGACGGTAGATTATTTAGGCCACTCTCTTCTAATTAAAGATTTGTATTTCTAGTTATTAGTTGTAACCATGATCAATGGACAATGTAATGATTGAACTGGTTGATGAATGAATTGATTGAACACTGGTTGGCAGAATATTTTTATTATATTATTATTTTGATGTAAATTTTGCTTATTTAAAAGAATTCGAATTCACACATTTTTCTGAGCTTTTTAGGAGGAGGGCTCGTCTGTTTTATAGTTATTAAATTGGATACCTACCAGTCAGCTTCATTCTCAACGATCTGGTATTATATTATAATTCATTAAAGGAACATTATTTAAATTCAAAGAAAACTTGGTATGATTTGGCGCTCATATATTTTGTTTTCAACAAAACAAACCTTCAGTTAACATTTAATTTTTTGAGAATTTCAGCAAGGAGGCCGAATTTTATATTATTTTTTATTCTAAGAAATTGGCGTTTATTTTGTATTCTTATTGTTACTTTAAATAATAATATAGTATGCGTTGGAACCGTTCTACTATATAGTTCGACTTGTTCTGGTTAGCTGGTCGGATTGCTGAGAAAAAAACAGACAGAAAACAAAACACTATATTAAATACTTACAAGGTCGCTTCTCGTGTACCGTTTCCGGTAGCTTTTATTCACTGGATAATTTGTTTCTAATCTTCTTCAGTTATCTGTACGTTTAAACTGCCATTAAAACGTCTCGAATTTCCAAATTGTTATTTGTCTGTCTAACGAATGAACGGTCCACAGCGGACGCACATCGTATGCAAATATTTGTCTAACAATCATTTTGAATGGGAAAATATTTGTGTTTAGGATTTAGATGATTGTAATTTAACAACAAATATATATATATATTTTTTTTATTAATAAAGTTTTTCTGACAAACTTGTCATCTTAACCTATTTAGATACAACACAATTTAAGTTTTCAAATATTTAAAATTATTTATTTATCTATATCTATATATATTATAGGTCAACGCATTTACTGCGTAGGATAACCATTTTAATTAAATGTATTCTTTTTATTTTGTTTCTAAGTGATTTAGTCTAGTTGTCTAAATGATGACTCTTGAGAATTAAGAATTGAGCATAAAAAATAAGTATAATATTAATGTAGTAAAAAAAAAAAAAGGCGAGGGTATATTATAATATCATAATATGCTGTGTTCACGTCTGGCGATCTATTGTCGTGTAAATTATTAAAGAAACATTTTTTTTATCTTAGAAATTTTAAAGTAATTTTTATTTGATAAGTAAAATCTCCTAGTGGACCGAGGTTTAATGGTGGCTTACTCGACCAAGTCTCACACGACGTGACACAACACTAACGACTAGAAATCCATTATAATGTAATTTTCTCGTCTTTTACAGATTTGTATTGTTCAAACGACACTACGAGAAGTACCTGGACATATCGAGGAAATACGAAGAAGCTCGGAGCTTGGCTTACTATCTGGAGGAAAAATATCACGAAATCAAGGTGAGTTCCTTCTATTATTTATTTTCGTGGGTACATTCGCTGCATTGGTATAGTTTCTCATACGACCATTGTTCCAACGTACCTTCCGTTGTTTTATAAAATATAATGTCTACGTATATCAAATGGATATACGTACACAATATGTAGGTCGGATAGTTTTTTCAAAAATGTATTTTACCATATTATAATATATGCATTGTTATTATTCATCGACGCCACTTTCTCTGATTATTGTAGTTCAATGCTATTCGCGACAATTGCTGCTTACAACACCTACAACACATTAGACGGAGGCCTCTCTGTCGCCGTAACGATGTTAATCGTTTTTAAAATTGAACTTTTATATACTACATTGGTGGCTTTACAAACACTAGTCAATTATGTTATTGTTTTAATGTGTTTTTGGTCTATTATTTGGGTCATACTAAAGTATTTTTTCCCCTCTTGATGACAAGTCACGATGAGCGCCAAAAGAGAAACTAGAAAGGAGGAGCTATTATTTTTTATTTTGTTTAACATGTGTGTAAATTTGTATTTCTTCTGTCGAATCGCGACTTTAAAATAATTAAGTTGCGCACACTATGTATTTTGCCCGGCAGCGAGTTACAAAATCATAAAAATTTAACGTCTACAGTTACGTTTGCTCCAGTTACGTAGCCAAAATTAGCTAAGAGTACGTTTTAAAAACATAGTTCAAGACTTTGGAGTATAGGGTAACCGTATTTAAAATTACGATCAGAAAAAAAGAGGTTAGGGTAGGTTAGGTTAGAGCAGAGCCATATTTATTACATATGTATTTATGAACCCGTAAATAATACTTTAACTTATTACACAAAGTATAATATTTATATTCACATAATATACCTTTCTAAGTATTTTACAAAGCGCTATCAACTATTGAAACCTAAATATGAACGTATATTATGTTTAATTAATTTAAAAAAAAAAAAATGGCCGTCAATTATCCATAGTCGATAACCAGTTTTGAGTAATTTCTTTTAATTAACGGGAGGAAGGGTGGTATGAAGTATTATTAGTTTATCTGAGCAAATTACTCAACCGCACTCCACCTACCATCCTAAATTTTTAACTAATAACTTTAAAGTAATTATTCAAAATTGGTTATCGACCAGTGAACATTTCCAGAACATTATTTTAAAATTAAAGTGTAAATACTTGGTAATTTTATAATATTGTACAACAACATCGATAAAAAAATATATTTTTTTAAAAAGAAAAATTACAACTGAAATTATTTTCTGAGAAAATGAGTATCTTAATTTAGATGTATCATCCGGTATGCAAGCAGTGTATCTCCTATCAAGTAGGTCAAAGTATAACTTCTGTCATTGGCGATGACAACATTTCCTAGTTCATAATAAATGGCTATTTATATATTTGTTTATTTTTGGATTTACTTTTTTTGTCGCAACGCACGTCAGTGTGAATAATAGGATCAACATTGGACTAACCTCAGAAAACTGGACAAAATGCTCCTCGTTCAATGTTTATCAGGACAATTTCGTTGAAATCGGATGGAGTACGCAAACGATAATCTATTTTTACCACAGATATATATAATAAACTAGATTGCTAACTAGCGATAAGAATTGAAGCCGAAGGTCCGCCAATCTGGTGGCATTTTTGCGTGTTATCAATGCATGTAATATATATCTGTATATATTATTATATCAATATTATATATATATGTGATTGTTATAAACATATATTATTCTCGCGTGATAAGGTTCTAATTCCCACCAAGATGGCGGAAAGTGACTGCTTCAATCTTCTCTATTGGTGACATGACAAGTTAGCAATCTAGTTTATTATATATGTATATCTATGATTTCTACCTACTAGAATGAAGATAATATTATGATGATATTATGGTTTATCCGAAAAGTTGTATTACTTCTCGTAAAAACGAAATACCAAAAGTAATAACAAAAACAAAAGGCTAAGGAGATTTAAGTGTTATTATTACCACAGAATAGATGAAAGTAGAAGGGTTATTTTCACTGTAAACAAAAAAGTGACTGCCATTTTGTAAAGACCGATTTAGTACCATGTATTATATCTACACACAACTAAAAAAAATGTTTAGATATACACAATATAGTGGTGTAGTCTTACTGTCTTAGGAAGATAGCCGCCACGTTTTTGTGTGATAAGTATTTATCCCTGTTGTAATTTTTATCAGTGTCCGGGGCCTGCTATAACCGTTTATACAGATTGCATTTTCACTAGTTACACAAATAATCAGAAAAAGCCAATAATAAATTACGAGTACGATTACAACGAGATAATATTTATAAATTTAAGTTTTTAGAAAACAAGAACAAAATAATAATATGTAATACGTGTATCGTTACCACAGGTTACTCATGACCGTTGTAATGATAATAATTATTATGTTTTGTCCACTCGTTGTGTAATCCGCAACAGGCTCAAAGTGAGAGTTGTTCCCCATCGTGTGGGTAACCGTCGGCAACAGGAAATCCTATATCGATCTGGGCGTTCATCTAACTAAAGCGTTTCGCTTGCGTGCCGCCGGCCCGTATGCTTGTTCCAGTTAGAATTTAATTTTTCAAAATAATAAATAACAACGGCTATCAATAATTATTGCTGCCCGGTGCCGCCTATATGATACGCGCAGCGTCCAAGGTAAAATTCGCGTTGTTCTTTACACCGTATGAAATTACAACCATGACGTGCGGCAGAGGCCGTTACCTTATGAGTCCTTTAGGCTACTTACACATCACAACAAAGATTGATTTATATGTGACCCACATTTTCACGACGCGACGCCAACATCAGGAGATTGTCTCGAAACTCTTGACAATGAGAGAGCTCTTGAACAAGATGAGTAAAATGATCCGTACCGTATTGGGAATACGGCCAAACGTGGTTTTATATAGGCACAGCGGGTTTCTATCGTAGGCACACTTAACAGTAAAAAGTCTTTAAGTAGATTTGCTTGTACAAATTGCCCGTGAAAAATCCTACAAGTAAAATATTATTATCTCGGCCTAAATTATACCCATACACGATACTGTACCGTTAATGAGTTTTAAACATATTGAAAAACACTAGGTTGCGGGTTGACTATCAAGTTTTGTCTCTAATAATGCCGCCGGTGTAATTATAATACAAATAAACTGGTTCCTGTCTGTTAAACCGCTCGTGAGTTTTTGTGAAAAAATCGGATCTTTAAAAGAGGTTTGACAGTCGGTGTCAATCTAGAAGATGACTGTGGATGTCTTCTGAAATCTTTGTCAACATCTTGATAAAATTCACATTCGTTTTTTTCAACCTCTAATCTATCCTACGATTTCTGGAGTTGGTTATATTGCTTATATCTTAAGCTTATTACTGTTTAATATGCTTAGGTCTTAAAATGGGATGACCGCTATGTGCGAGTCAAAAGTAGTTTCACTGTTCGGCTTAAAAGAAGACTGACTTTGCTAAAAGTGACATCTGTGTTTTTTCTCTAGCCGTTTCGGACTAGCGTTTAAAAAGCAATTAATTTAATAGCATTTATTTTTCACGGATCTGTGGTTTTTGTTTACTGAATTCAGACCTAACCTACCCTCTAGATGGACGTCTAGTTTATTTGTCGCCTGTGTGCGACTTAATGCAAAGGGATATTCCCCCATTTGTCGTAGGGGAATTTCGTGAATTTAATTCGTGTTATTTTTTGGTCGTAAACGAACACTTTACTGATATTAAAGTATGCGGAAGCAATAACCTCACATCAATAACGTTTATGGTCGAGTACAGTTAGTACTCCACCCTTAATAATTTCGAAGAAAACTTTAGGGCGGCACACACGTGTGGAGGAAACGACTAACGTTGAATCCATTTATTTTCTAAGGCGGGCCCGCCTACCATAGATGTTTTCGGTCCCGACCGCTTTTGTTTTTTTTTATATAAGCTGTATTATTATTTTTCTGACAGAAAGAAATCGATATGGAGTCGTGCGGTTCTCGGACACGACACAACGTTGTATTATGTTAGATGTGACGTGTACAAGTCGTACAATGACAAATGATTTGGATCCGCCGGCGCTAAACGAATAGAGACGATCGAACCGACCGACCACTGTCAATCACAATCGGTCTGGCTGCAAATTTCTATAGGAAAGGCCTAAGTGGGATTTCTAAAACCTTTCTGCTTCGTATCGATTTTGATTGGAAGACAATGATTTCAAACGTTGATATCTAATATTGTTTTTTTTCTTCTTTTACCATTGCTGAAACAATAATTATTATCCATATTTATTGTTACGTTACTTGGAAAACGACATTAATGCATTTTTGCCAATGGCCAGGTTTATATATGTGTATATTTACATGATGCACATTGACTTGTGAAATTTGTTTTGCGTTGTATGGAAATCAGACTCCGTATATTATGTACCTATATTAAATCGCGTTCGGTCGTAGCCTTCAAGGTTTTGTTCTTATTGTGTACAGTATAAGTAATAAAAAATTTAGGCGTGCGTATTGACCCGAAAAACAATTGTGATTTTTTCTTTTTTTTTACACATTATTTTTGTGTAAATTATTTATCACGTCTACAAAATGTTTCGGCATTGGACAGCGGTTTTGTTGTAGAACAAGCGAAATATCACAATATAGTATAATAATATTATGAAATTGTACACATATTTCCATGTCGAGTGTGACTAAATAATTGTTTGATGATCTCAAACGGGCCCGATCGAAGTCTAATATTGTAGTATAAAACAGACAGCTGGTGCCTGGCGACAGTAATAAATCTTTGGATAAAGTCGTTGTTCGAGTATATGCGCCCGTCCCGTTTAAGAACACCAGCACGTGCATGTGTCCAACGGAAGCTTGTTATAATCGTTAAGTGAAAAAATATGTTCTCCGTTCTCCTATTGAAAATGATTATCCATCTCGACGATCACTTTAAACAACACATGGGCATAGTAAAATATTTCCTTATAAGCATAGTAATATGTTTATACGTAG